GAAAGGAATCAGTAAAATACTGGGAGGAATCAGTAAAATTTTGGGAGGGATCAGTAAAATATTGGAAGGATCAGTAAAATATTGTAAGGATCAATAAAATATTGGGATCAGTAAAAGGTGGACGTTTCCCCACAGCTGCCCCACCTGCCCCACATCAGTGAGTGCCTGATGAAGAGGAGCCTGAAGCCCGCRGACCTGCGGGACATGACCTTCGGGCAGCTCCAGGTCATTGTCAACGACCTCCACTCGCAGATTGAGAGTGAGTGCCCAGTGCTGAGCTACCCTGGCCTCTGCCTCGTTTCATTTGTACCAGTTCTATGGGATAAATATGGAATTTTTTCATGGAAAGGTTTTCCAGCCCTGGCACAGCTGCCTGGGGTACGGGGGGAGCCCACATCCCTGCAGGGATTTAAAATCCGTGTGGTGGGGAGAATCCCAGCCTGGGGTGGTTCCAAAACTGATCCCAAAGGGATCCCAAAGGGATCCTAAACTGATCCCAAACTGATCCCGTTCCTCCCTGGAGCAGGTCTGAACGAGGAGCTGGTGCAGCTGCTGCTGATCCGGGACGAGCTGCACACGGAGCAGGACGCGATGCTGGTGGACATCGAGGACCTCACCAGGTCAGGAGAATCCCGTGGCCATTTCTGTCCCCTCCCGGCTCCCAGCGTGGGTTTTCCTCTGTCAGAATTTTGGGATAAAGCGTTGGCCATCCAGGATTTTGGGAAGGGATTCCTCCCAGAGCAGCTGGATCGCTGGCAGTGCCCCAGGCCAGGCTGGGCAGGGTTCTGGCTTTGCCATCAGGGCTGGAGAACATTAAAATCACTTCAATATTAACATTTAACAACGAATAAAACAAAAATTTCAGGATATTCAGAAACATTTCAGAAGGGCAGGTTCCCTTAAGGACTCCATCCCCCGGGAGCAAAGCTTAGGAGGTTTTTTCCCTTGGGATCATTGGAGATGAGCTGCAGAAATAAAAAGGATTGGAAGGTTTGGGATGAAAGGAGCAGGGAGAGGAAAGCCCTGGGTAGGGTCAGCACACCGGGACTGGGATTCTATTTTTTTATTATTTTTCATTATTGTATACTACAGGTTGTATATTTATCCACTATCTTTCATATAGAACATATTTACTATATATTAATTACATATATTTTATTATATATTACCTATCCTATATTTTATATATCATCTATATTATAATTTAAATATCTTTTTCTTTATATATCACTCTGTGTTTCCCTTGGGAAAACGTGATTGCTACCCATACGTATATAAAAATATATATATTTATATATATTTTAATGTAACACTCTCTGATTTCCCTTGGAAAAATGTGTTTCCACCTACATATATATATAAATATATATATGTTTATATATGATTTTATATATCACTCTATGTTTTCCCTCGGGAAAATGTGATTACCTCCTAGATAGATAGACAGATAGATAGATATATAAAATTAGATATAAATACATATATCACTGTGTTTCTCTTGGGACCATGTGATTCCCACCTATGTGTATAAATATATATATTTATATTTCTGTACCATTTTATATATCAGTTCGTGATTCCCTTGGGAAAAGGTGATTACCTCCTAGATAGACAGATAGATAGATATATGTATTTATATCTGATTTTATATACCACTGTGTTTCTCTTGGGACAATGTGATTCCCACCTATATATATATATATACACACACACATATAAATATATATATAAGTATATATATTTATATTTCTATATCATTTTATATATCACTTCGTGATTCCCTTGGGAAGATGTGATTCACTCCTATATATATATATATATATATATATATTTATCTATGTATTTATATCCAATTTTATATATCACTTTGTTTCTCTTGGGAAAGTGCAATTCCCACCTAGATATATAGATATATAGATATATAGATATATAGATATATAGATATATAGATATATAGATATATGGATATATAGATATATAGATATATATATAGATATATAGATATATCTCTCTCTATATATATATAGATATATCTCTATCTAATTTTATATATCACTTTTTTTCTCTTGGGAAAACGCAATTCCCATATATATATATATATATATATATATATATATATATATATAAATATATAATTGTGTTTATCTATAATTTTATATATCACTCTGTGTTTCCCTTGGGAAAAGCGTGATTCCCACCTCTATACATATGTATAAATATATATATTTATTTTTATATATAATTTTATATATCACTTTGTTTCTCTTGGGAAAACGTGATTCCCACCTCTATACATATATTTAAATACATATATTTATTTTTATATATCACTCCATGACTTCCCTTGGTAAAACATGATTCCCACCTACATATATTTTTAAAAAAAATTCAAAAATCTCAATTTCCTTGGGAATGAGCAGATCTGTTGTTGCAGACACGCCGAGAGCC